TACTGAGTAATAGTTGAGAGCAGGCTGACATCTAAGAATTCGCTTGAAGTCGTGAGCTCTATCCAGCTGATGTCTGGCCTCTTGCGATCTCTAACTATAAAATAAGAATGAGCTCTATTCCAAGCGCATATATGACGTAGGATAAATGATCACTGAGACAACATAAAATACGACATATCCCTCATTGTGTCATTAAACCATGTTTAGAATTCTTTATGCAATCAGAAGCTCCGATGTATCAATATTATGCTCTTCTGATGGGCTTACTTGTACACTAAAATTATCTCTATTGTATAAAAAGACGCTTGATTGCATGTGACTTATGATCCAATTAATTCTGAAACATATGAGTCCTTAAGCTATTATGAAACTAAAAAATCAAAGACGAGCTTTTTTGTGAAAACATTTATATCAGGACCTAATTTATCTGTCATCAGAATCACCCCGTAAGTTTAATTTTCAAAACTGCCAGCGATTGCGTAGCACACAGTAAAGGCCTTCGAAGCACGGGTTTTCAATCATTTTGACGTCACAAGGAAACACTATGGATATCGATTGGTTGGTGTCAATTCATCACAATGACAGTGAATACCGAGTAATCATTTACCTTACAGTTTCATTATTACCTTGAAAATTAGCGTCTCCTCGTTCATCTTTCACCGCTAACGGGAAACGTTCCAGTTTTCGATACCAGAATGGCACATCTTAACGTTCCAGAGGGTACAAACTTTGTCTCCTTTCATTGGTAGACAGTCTAAGTAAACAAACGTAATCATTCTACGTCGAAACCACTTTACGGTTGGTCTAGCTGTTTCAATGAACTGCGCGCTTCCTAGTTGCTTAGACAGCCTCCTCACATTCACCCACTCGCAAGCACAGGAATCGTAAGAAAGTTACTGTATCCACACGAAGTTGCATACCAGAATGGTCAGTTGTTGTCCACAGTGCAGAAGCACTGAAACAAAAAATAACAGCAGCGAAGTCACGAGCCCCACTTAAAACAAATCTTAAAAAACACCCTAATAAACTGAATTCTCTCAGTAACAAACCGACTAAACAGGTGACATGTGTAGTCACAACCCGAACCAATACACCAACAAAACTGTCTGTTGTTGCAAATTTTATTGATCTGTTAATGACTGATGACTTTGAAATTCAACAGTCCAGGGCACTACAGGCGAAAATCGTGTTTCTGTCGACTGAATAACCTGTTTGAAAATCCGACATCGGTAATGAAACACACCATCAACTGCAACTATAGCAACGTTAGAATACTAAAGGGTAAACTGGTAAGCATCCGGTAGATGTGCTTCCAGGTGAATCTGAAGGAAGTAGTGACCATAGCGTAGTGATGTTTAACATAGACATAAACGAAAACGAACCCTACCTTTTCTACATTAGGGCAAAGTGCGCGTGCACCAAAGGTTTTTTTTACACCTTCCATGGCCACGAAAATGGTGAAGGTTAACAGTGAGAGTCAACTTCAGTGATTAGTTAGGCAGGTTACCTACATGTTCGGATGGCAACTCAAACCTAGAGCTAACTGACGTCCTGAGTAACTTTTGACCGACCACTGACTTAGTACTTTTTAAACTAAAATTCTTGCGTCCTGGAATATCACTAGGTTGTGGAAATATTCGGCCTATTATATAATCGTAGTGTGCAGAATCCCTCAGTTCACCGTTATGTGACCGCATCAGATATTCAGTGGACCACCTGTAGAATCCAATTTGAAGCCTCTGTTTTGGAAAAATCCCTCCACTCTTTCTGTGCTACATTTCGGTACCCTGTTTAACCCCTTTTTGTGATATTAATATTTGTATTTTTTTATAGTTTCTATTTTTTGTATCTTTATTGGAGATTCTATGTTTTCTACTGAAGTGTGTTATATTGTTTAAACTGATACTTAATTATTGTGGCGTCAGCCGTATTGGATTTGACACCCCGGAAGGTGAAACTTAAATCCGGACTGGAAGGGTTCAATTTTGGACCTATACGGAAGCATTCTTCCAGAACTGGAAACACATTGTGTTGAATTTGTTAAAAAAAAACAGTGTAATATTGTTTAGGTAACGATATATACCTCTTAATTATTGATAGAACCGTTTCTTACCCAGATAAATTGATTTCTTGTTGGTATACTGGGAAAGGCGCGTACCCAAACTTCTAAAACTGTTCTTCCGAGTTCAGAAGCCACTTAAAACCTTAATACCAGACTCTGTTTCAAATTTCAAGAAGGAAACATTAAGGATCTTACCTGCTACGCATAACTTCCAGTATTGTCGAAGGTAACGGAAGGACTGCTGAGTGAGCGACTGGGGAATTACATGGATAAAAACATTGGTTTAGGAAAGTCATCCACCCTTCTCATAACATCGACCTATTGAGACGGAAAAATACAGTTTCATGTTATTTTCTTTACTTCCACAAGAATCTCACGCAGTCATAATCGCGAAAGTTATGAAGATTGGCTTCACGGACCCACTCCATCCTTGGCTCAGAAACTACCTTAGGAACAGGAGGTTTCGTGCCAAGGCAAATAGAATGCACGCGAGCTGATGAATTTCAACATCCAGGGTTTCACAGAAGACCAAATTAGATTCACTCCTCTTGCGGATATTCACAAATAACCTGTTGGGTAATTATCTATTCAGCATTGATCTACGTGGACGATGAAAAGATCTGGGGGTCCATAAGAAGTGAATTGGATTCTACTGAGCCTTAGAAACACCTCATTGCAATCAATTAACGGACAGTTTAAACTGGGGAAACACTGAACAATCGGAAACGCCACGTTATTTACTATCTGCCACACGTGACACAAACAACACAAATTATAAAAGGAGCTGCGTTTCTTAATGTCCCGCGAAGGAAGCGATCTTGTTCCGTTAACAACAGCAAGCTTAAACACCATTTCAAATAAAGAGCGGTCTCAACCAAGGTTACTTTATGCTTAGAAAACTTCATTCAACAACCCCAAAAATATTCGCGACACTAAATATATACGTACTAACAAAGGATTTTCTCCCATTTCGATCAGCGGAGTCTAATGCATGTCTCCATACCTGTTAGTTGTCATTATTGTCATCTCCTCAGATAATATGCTCATTTCAGCTTACTCATTATCTCTGTTTCATTTCCCTAGCTCATAATTCGGACCTCTCTTACAATCTTTAAAACCAGTAAATAACTTACATATTGATTTACTTAGTTCTGAAATCCCGATCTTATTAGCATTAGACATTCCTCACATCGAAAATGACTGATCTCTGGTCTGGTAAAGTAATTACTGCTGGTATCCCGAAACCCTACCGCTCCGAGACAAACGTGCTCATTCAAATATCGGGACCAACAAATTCATAAATAACTGCCACCTAACTTGAATTATATCAGTCTACTGGCTAGACTAACAACCAATGGGCACCACCAAATAAATGGAACCGTATCGGAAGGACAACGATTGAGCGCAAAGAATGCAATCGGTTTTCTACTAGCTCGCACGAAATTGTCAGTCGACCTCGTTTAACAACCAGTGGCCTCGCCGACTGCACTCATTGCACAGGCAAAAACCTGAAGATGCCAGTTCTCACAGAACTGGATAATTCGGTCTGAACAACTTGCTTGAAAATTCGACAACGGCCGCTGCTGCAGAAGTGCATCAGGGGCTGAGATAAGCTACCTTATACCTCTATAGCAACGTTAGAAGAATAAGGGGTGAGCTGCTAGAAATAAGTAATATGTGCTCTCAGATGGATATGAAGATCATAGTCCTAACCGAAACGAAATACTTGATTGAAAGGATTTATCGACCTCACTCAGAAAGACAAACGGGCTGAAGTAATACTGCAACTGTTACTTCTGGGGTTAGACCGAATACTCTTGGCTAGAGATTTCAATAACCCACCTCTAAATCTCAGCAATCAGAGTATAACTCCCACTGGTTGGTTCCAAAGACGACTTTGAACAGCCATTAGAATCTCTAGGCCTACTGAGTACGTATGCAGTTCCATTAGATGGATTAGTGAAGGAAAGTCCTCAAACCTGGATTATTTGTCAACAGATGATCAACTCCGTGCCGGTATGTTCAAGAACACCAGTAGGAAGTAGTGACCATGGCAGAGTCTCGTTTAACATAGTCATAAACGAAATCCTAACACAGGAGGAAAATAAGCCATATCTTTGCATCACAAGGGCAAATTATATGCGTATGCGAGAGACCCTGCTACATGCCCCATGGCCCCAGGAATGGTGGAGACTGACAGTAGATTATCACTGGCAAACAGTGAGAGCCATCATCTAAAATGCTGTCCTAGGAATGTCCGCCCAGGAAAGTCAGCCGGTTGTGACAAAATTCGCCTCATAGTTTTGGAACAATGTGCAGAATTTCTCTGTTTACAGAAATGTGATCTGCTCAGGCATTCAATAGATTCACACCAACTCCCAGCTGAATGGGAACAAGCTACTCTGTCTACAATCTTCAGAGTAGGAGATAGAAAGGACCCAGCCTGTCACAGACCAGTCGCATTAGTACCAATACTATCAAAGGCAATGGAAAAGCTGGTGGACGTACAAATGAGGGAGTACATGGATAAGGTAAATATAGTGCACGCGAGCTGGCGAGTGTCTACATCGTGATCTATACCCTCAATGGAAGTCCGCTCACTAATGTCTATTCAGAGCGGCATCTCGGTTTAATTACCACAGAATTTTATCCCTATTATTCTCCACATTGCAACTGACTGATCTCCTGTCTGGTGATGTGACAGCTGCTGGTATCTAGGAACCCTAATTCCCTGAAACAAAGGAGCTCGTTCAAATCACGGGACATACAATCTCACAACTAACTGCCAAATGACTAGAATGATACAATCGAGTGGCTAGATTCCTGTTAAAGGGACTTCACCAAACTCCTGGAACCGTACCGAAAGAACAAAGATAGAGCGCAAAGAAATCAACTGGTTTACACTAGCTCGTGAAAAAGATATTGGATATTGAATATTGGAAAACGACATTGGATAGTGGAATTCAAGGGCACTTTTAGGTGGATTTTTAAATGACCTGTCAGTTATCATGATAAAAAAGGACTCACAGTCAGGATTACTCTTCAAAAGTGAGGTTTGTATTTCTGAATTTTCACTTAGGTAGTTGTTTTGATAGGTGATTCGGGAGTTGGAAAGACAAATTTACGTTCCCGTTTTACTAATGATGAGTTTAACCTTGAAAGTAAAAGCACAATTGGTGTTGATTTTGCCACAAAGTAAACAGTTAAAATTCAACAATAGTGATTTAAAGGAATGTAAAAATTGACGGAAAAGTTGTTAAGGCTCAAATATGGGATACAGCTGGTCAGGAGAGATATCGGGCTATTACGTCGACGTATGTAACATTATTGTACATTTAAATGTGTCTAGATGTTCAGATTTTATAAAAATGATTCTATGCTTTTGAGATATTTGCAATAAAATTTCTGAGTGTTTCACAACATCTAATTTGTTCAGCAGATATGAAATAATCTATTGCTACAGTTTACAATGAGGTATTAAATATACTGAGGCATCTAAATGTAAGAAATGTAGATACCGCGATGTAGGCAAGAAATCTTGTGATAAAGCGGATTCTAAAGACAGAAGAAGTAGACAACGCTTCCGATTTTGAGACCGAAATGTTACTGACGTTATGAAATTTTCGTTGACACACAATTTATCCAATATCTTTTTCACGAGCTAGTATAAACCAACTGATTTCTCTGCGCTCGATTCTTGTTCTTTCGGTATAGTTACGGGACGTTTTTCAACAATATACAAAGTGACGTGCTTATATAAGTCTTCACACAGTTTCTAATATTCTAAGGTATCTTCTTTGGAAAAAAAGCCATATGGTAACCGGTTTACTAAGGACATCTAAGCATAACTAATGTGGCCTCCAGTGTGAAAGTGTATAACAATTCAAAGCTTTAGGGATCTGTCTATTCACAGCGGATAATATCTTGAGTCTATTTGCAAAAATTTCTAAAACCCTATAAAGCGTACTTATCATCTAAAAAAGCCATTCGGTTATTGAGAAAACATCTCCGTAATGCACAACTACGACATTCTGAAATACTGCTGTGTTTAACTATATACCAAACGTTGGCTTGAGCAGAGGTATGCATCACGGCAATCAGCTGTATAGACAGATTTTACTTAAGTCTCCGACAATTCTTTTGATTCTAAAATAATGTCATCTACAAATATATAAAAGTCCTTAGGTTTTGCATTTTTACTAACAACGACAATCAAGAAAACATTACTAATTTTAGGAAAAATAATGCGGCCTAATTTAGGCCAAAATTATCGATTTTAACTTCAATATATCGACTGTACACTCTACACCCTCAGAGTTTGTAATTGATCGACAAAAGTCTCAATCATTGGGATTTAGAAACTGAAAAGTGACAGATTTTCGCTTATGTTGCTGAAACTGATATGTGGAGGCCTAGAAAAATGTAGCCACTAGAGTCAGTAGTGTTACAAGTACACTCGGCTCGTGCCGTTTAATTATAATCTGATGATGAAGTGGGTTTCATCAACTGGAATAGCATTTACTGTTGTCTATGACGTAAGTAACAAGCTGTTTTTCCAAAAGCGATTTGGTTTTGTTTTAATTTCTGTTTTTATCTTATTCTACCTTCAGTTTTGTTTTCTCACGGCAATCAAGTAGATTTAACAATTTAAAAATGCATCCCTGTCTCTTTACCTTCTCACTTACGGCAAACAAATAATTAGGTATGCTACCCAAACGATTAAGAGAATAAATATAAAGAGATGGTGTCCCTTAAGTGATTACTACCAGCCCCTGCGAGCCGCTTGCACGAAACAAAGAAAGAACTAACAACCTAAATACCATGAATTCCTAACTGTATATGAGATAATATTATATTAAAAGCGCTTACCTAATTCTTGTAATGATCGACTTTTAAAAGTTCAGCAATACATCTGTGTCTAGTTAGAAGGGTCAACCTTATTCCAATGCTTTTACGAATTTTTTCCGTACTCATATGTTTGCCTGAAATGATCTACCTCTTGAAAAAACAGTGTGCATTCCCATAAAATCTATACCCTTAGTGAAGAAAAATAGCCTCTTTCCCAAAATTTCCTAAGAGTGTCTCACTGCTTTCCTTATTTGCGTGTTTGTTCTACATATTACCTGTTATTCATCCTTAAATATTTTTCTAACGTTAAATATAGCGCTTTGTTTGTAGAGGTATCAAAAACTTCAGGATTATAGTTTCAACGTTAGGATTGGAGGCCTAGCATGATCAATATTTTTTAATCACTCAATTTGGATTGCTACGTCTTTTAAAATATAATCACACATTTTAATTTTTTTGCTTACAAAAGTTCCTATTTTTTTGAAAAAACTAATCTTTATATAAACAGAAGTGATACAGTTAGTTATAGAGCTTGCGAATATCACGTTGCTACAGGTAAACACATCGGTCTCTGTGGTAAATAAATGTGCATCTATTCCCTAAAATAGGAATCCCTGTCTTTATATTGTGTTTGCTTGCTGGCTGCATACAAATGAGACAAGTCTCTCAGGCTTTTCCAGTTATTTGGGAAAAATACTTGTTTTAAAGGTTGCTTTACTGAAAAACATCAATTTCTTATTCTTTCAACTTTTAAGTATGTGAATTCTTTTAGTAATATTATGATTAGTTCGTTCTTTAACATTATTTTAACTCTGAATCCAAATAAAAAGTTTCCAGAATATGGGTAATAAAAAGGCCATTCTTGAATTTAAACCACTTTTTATCGTTTGTTGATTTTATATTAGCTCAGAGTTATGTTACGATAGTGGACAAAGTGTGTCCTAAGTCCATCGCTTGGTCAGTAAAACGGAACAAGATGTTCTCATGAGGACAGAAATAAAGTATTATTGAGGTTCTAAAAAGCAAAAATCATCGTCTGCACCAGATCGTCTAGACTGTTTATATGCCTTCCTCTATTACTTAAATAATCGACTTTCTACAGTTTGGGGAAATTCTGACAATTTAGAATAACTCATACGAGTAATCGTACAATTATTTTAGATAATTTTCCACAGTGATTGTTTTTAAAGGACTGTGGAAATCGAAATTGAGTAGTCATTGAGAAAGTTTGTAAATAATGTATTTTTTTTTACTATTTTTTCTTTTGAAGATTTATGATTCAGATAGCCAGTAACCATGCGAATTATTTAATAAGACTGATCATCTGATACTTGAATTGATTGTTTTTTTTTGAGCCAAAAGGGGAAATTATTTATAGACTTGTGTTAATTCAGGACACATATGAATTTATAATATTCGTATTTGTATTATCGCTAGCGCAATAGTCCTTTATAATTTTAGGAAGTATACCACCATTTTAAAGTTTCAAATTGATCTCTTTTTTACTTACTGTAAAATAAACAGTTATACATAAATAATTTACGTATTATATGAACTTCGAGGATGCATCAAAGACAAAAGTCACACGTGTTTTATTTGTTGAAATGTCTGACTTTCGAAGGCTGGTTTTCTTATACTACTGTATTTATGTTAAGTGGCTAGTAACAAATTTTTCACTTTTTATGACACTTGAGAGTATGTGGCTTGCTTAATTCAAGGTTGAATCATTTCACTGACAAGTTATTCAAAACTGAAGCAAAAGACTGACCTAGGTATTTCATGTTTTCATAAAAGTTCTTCTCTAATACTACCATAAATAAAAGCGCTTTTTAATGGATTTTAACTCTCACAATTATTGCATTGAAAATTACAGATTAGCTTTCAGTTATGTTATATATTATTAGCCTCTAATAGTAAATGTAACGCCACAGTTTTAAAGTAGAGCCAACTAAATGATTTTCCTACTAAAAATCTGACTACATACACGTTGTTTTAATTGATTAAGTGGTTATTTGAGCCAGTCTCTTATTAAATTATTACAGTAGTTTGGCAATACTGAAAATATAGTGGTATTTTATTGGTATATTCTTAAAACTGACAGGACTAGAAAAACCAAGCTCATTGAACTTGATAACAAATATATATCCTATGTTCAAAAACCTTTGATCAGCAGTCACATCTATGCTCCTATGGGAGTGTCTAAAATGAGTTAAAAGAAATGTAGCTCAGGTAGAAAGTTTGTTCCTTTGATCTAGACTGCTTAATTAATTGTATAGTTTTTGATGATCTTGAAAAATTCAAGCTGAAGTATTTTTTGTTTTGCTAAACGTGAACATTATTTAACAAACTAATACAAGAATACATGAAGGATAACTTATCAGTATTTATTGAAATATTTTATGGAAAACTAATTATCTCATCAATATAGCACATATATTTATGTATTATTACAGAATATTTACGACGCTACTCTATTGGAAATACTGGTTTAGTTATATACAATATTTCATGTTTATAAATGAAGGCTTATAGCTTTTAATGTAAGTTAGAATGCAATCAACAGTGTTGAGTACGAAGAATGTTCGTATGGACTAATAGGTCTAGTCTTAATAATATTTCAGAAGAAATTAAACTATTCATTATATTATGCAGAAATTCATTTTTCAACGATTCATTTCCAGCTCTATAACTTTATCATTAACTAGTCTATAAGGTAATTGCTTGTAAGGTGTACTTAAGTCAATAGGTTTATACAATGTAGTAATAACCTAGACCCAGGCTCAATGACAAACTATTTATGACCTGATAAACCAGACAATATTTATGAGCTTCAAAAACCTGTTTTTTAAGGCCGAATTATCCTAAATAGATCTCATAGTGATCATGAAATTTTCATACTAGCCAGTGGTCTTCTTTTTCAACCTCGATCATTAAGTAAGGTTTCACAACGTTCCTCTAATGTTATTTCTAATATCTATTTTACTCTTGACACGGTTGTACTACATTATCTGTGGCCTCTCATTAGAACTTTAAAAGTTCATGTTAAAGTTAGCTGATGGTCACTATATGATCACTATTATTTGTCATTAACCTATTCCCTTGTTTAAAAAATTAGATTTCGAATGGATTTAGACTAAAATAAGACATGAGTAGAGTGAAAAATCTCAGTAGTTGCTTCAATATCATATTGTAGTGGTAGTTCTGTAATTCTTCGACAATGATGCTGACTTCACTGGTTTTACTGGAGACATAGCTAAAAGCATTTGGTCATGCTTCCACTCTAAAGTATCACTAGATATGTCGTGCAGCAACTAGTCAGCTAACGTTGCATGCTTCTTTACACATCAACTATCATCTAAACATATCTTTGAGCTCCCTCATTCCTTATATTTAGTTTAACTGAGTTTGGGATCCTTAATAGTAAAGACACTACGCACAAGTGCGTTATCAACCCCTGATGTTGGTT